ATAGAGAGTTAAAGAATTAAAATTGCAGCTGAGGAATTCTGTATAATGGCAATAAGCATGGTTGCCAGAGTGCTGAGAAACCAAATTATGAAATACTTTGCTGAATTAATAATTAATATTTTGTCTTCTCTGAATGTTCCTGCAGTAGATACAAGGTATTCTGAGATCTCCTTCAACTTCTCTTTGAGTTACTCAAATACAGTGTGTGCATTACAGGTGAAACAGTCACCAATTCAGCATGAAAACGAGCAGTTCCAGCTGAATCAAAGCTGAAAGCAATTCAAATGTTGATGTTAATRTTCTCCCTCATGCAGCCCAGCACTAAATCCATGTTGATTTTAGATGCTATTTAGATGTGGCTGGAGCTCAGGCAAACCTATAGCCTGGATATTCACTTAAGCCAATAACTGAAGTGTATTTTGAATGTGAAAAGTGAGATGAGTCTCACTGGAAACTATATGCAAGAATTATTTCAGTCTGTAGCTGTATGTGAGACATTAGCTAAATTGGCTTTTAAAGTTCATCAGAAATCCTGGCCAGGAAATTGTGGACGTATTGATGAGGGATCTACTGAGGGTTAAAGGACTAAAAATATCCGGAGGAGCTGTGGTTCTTTGGCAGGAAACAGCAGAGTCTGGCTGCCCTGGGTAATGTGTGATATCCTAGGGGCTTCTGTAGGGAGCTGAGGTATCTTTCTGGCGAGACGAARCACACGGTCCTCGTAGGTGCACCGAAAAACACATTCCTGTTTTAGCCAGTCACTGCATACCTATTGGAAAAATGTGTTTATAATGTGTATKCAAACAAACTTTGAAGAGGGTAAACGATAGTCACTTCCCAAACCAGCATGAAAAGCAGCGAGCAACAAAGGAGAAGCTGCAGGCGCCTCTCAATCCTGTCTTTGTGCATGTGCTTCCCTGGTGCCTTTTCCCATCCGTGCTAGGGAGGCCTTGGAAGGGTTGCTCGTTGGCCTGCTCCAGCACAGGCAGAGCAGCCCTGCTGCTTCACGAGCGCTTTGGGTGATCAATCCCATCCCCAGGCTTCTCTGCCTCAATCCCATCCCCAGGGATGCTTTTCCCTGGGGAAAGGGAATCCCATCCCCTTGTCTGCCGGATGCTTTTCTGCTTTGCTGGGGCTGGCAGCAGCCACCAGCAGCATCAGCAGCTCTGCAGCCCTGGTGTCCTCAGCTTTCTGGTGACAGTCCCTGCATTTTGTGGTGCAGCGGTTAAACACCTCGAGCAAGTGCTCTCAGCGCGGGGGTCTTTGCATTTGCTGCAGCCAGGGAGCCTTCATGAAGGGCTCCCAGCACAGCTGAGTCTGGGGATGCAAAACGAGGCATCGCAGAAGTATTTCCTGTTTAAACTGCCCAGTGCAAAGCAGGATTTTGCAAAGTTTCTGTGAAACCATTCCTGATAAAAGCCCTGCTTGGCCGCTTCTGCTAACCACCCAAACCAAAGCTGCTGCATTATTTCTCTTCAGAGCAAGCAGATTTAGAACACGGGCTGAGTCTCCTCCAATGTGTTATGCAAAAAAATGCTGTTTAATTATTTACAGGCTGACATAAATGGTTCAGTTTTGCATATTACATGATATCCCAGCCCCCAGACTGTGGGCTCGAAGCAGCCTGCTTGGCACCGCTCTGCAGCTGAAATCCCTTGATGCTAGCTTTGTTTTGCATAGCACTTTGTAATACTGTTAGTTGACTTGGCTGCAGTTTCACAAAGCATTTTTTTTTCCACTTGGTTCAACACTCAGTTGAATCTAATGGGAACGGAGCCAGACAAGTAATGTAAGCCAAGTGCCGACGCTTGTTTGGTGTGCAGTTCCTGACGAGAAATATATATAGTAATTGTCTCTTGCTCCTCAAGGCTTTAAGTTTGGCAGGGGGAATGCTTGCATTAGCATGCCAAGTATTTAAAATCATAATCAGTCAGTGATGAAAACATATATTTATGGCTATAATGAGTTGCATCAAAGCAAGAGGCATTAGTTTTCCCCATGGAAGTAACAAAGCTAATTCAGAAATGCCCTCTTTTAAATGGCACAAAGACCTTTCGAAGGTGAAGAGCTTGATGGTTTTTCTAGAATATCTTGAATATTGCAGGGACACAAGCAAAGCGCTGGCTCTGGGGCTAATGTGGGTTGCTAGATGCTGCATGTAGCGCTGGAAGGCTCCGGCCATGGCCACATAGCGCACGTGGATGTCCCCACATCGTGGGGGACAGTGAACCATGAGCTGGCCCCACGCAGGCTGCTGGGGGCGGTGGGTGTTTTTCCCCGTTGAAACGGCTGCATTGTGCCCGTGGGCTGTAACGACCCGCTGCCRGTGTTTGCTGGTGGGCTGTGACCCGCTCGGGAAGCCTCCGGCCACCTGCCAGGGCAGCGGGGACAGCGTGAGAACAGGCSGCTGCTCCCGCCGCCTCGGCCCCGTCACCCGCGCAGGCACCGAGACGCTGCTGCTGCTGGAACGGGCGCCTCTGCAGTCACACCGTTARCGGGATCCACTCACATTTTCAGCGGTAACAGCCATATTTTACATGCGTGCATACAAAAGACAGCACAGTGCTTTTAAATTTTTTAGATAGCTGTAATTTCACCTAAAACTTGTATTGCATAACTTCACATTCCAGTGCAAACAAAACTAAAAAATACTGATTAAAGGAAAGGCCTGACCTGCTGCTTCTGCCCTCCAAAACGTGGGGCGCTGGGAGAAATGAATTGCAGTGTGTCTAATGGCAGCTTGCTGGTGGCGTTTCAGAAAATGGGACAGTCTTATCTTTAATGCCCAATGCGTTTGGCTGCAATTAAATTAGACATTACATCCGTTAGTCATTAAAATACACTGAGCTGGCTGTTGTGGGAAAAGAAAGAATACTTTGGGCAAAAAATGGATAAATCCACAAGGGCAGGAGAGCTGTTGCTGGGTGCCYGGTCGCTTGGTTCTGTGCCTGTGGAAGCCCCAAAGCCGTGGCGGGCTGGCCTGGAGCGGCGCTCGCTCCCTCCTGCTCTGCTCCTCTCGAGCCTTGCGGGTTCGGCGATGCATATGTGCAGCATTAAAATATTTATTTCCCAGATGATATTAGAAACGGGGCAGAACTGTTTTCCTGAGAATTCTTGGCATGGCAGAGCTATGTCAGAAAATGCATTTGAGTTTCTGAAAGCTTTTTCTTTCTCCTGAAAAGATTTGCAGGTGTTTTGTTTTATGCTGAATTTCAGCACTGGAAGACTGGCTCAAGGTTGAATGCATTTCTTTCTGCTAACATCCCTATTTTTATGGAAGAGTTTCTGATTATTTCCTCGCTGATATAAAGCCAAAGCAGTATAATCCTCCATAGTTTTAATTCTCGGATCRAGGATGTCACATCTTATGCTGATAAAGTGAAAAGAAGTGTCCAGTGCACGGACCTGAAACCCGTTCAGGAGCCTGATGGCCGAGGTGAGGGGGCAGGGGAGGGTTTTGAGCTGTGCTGGTTTTGCCAGCTGGTCTTTCAGGGTTAGGGTGTCTGTTCAGCTCCTCTTCTTGCAGCTTTGAAAAGTGGGGTAGGCAGAAGGGGTGCAAAGCTTTGGTTTTTAGCCCAGTCACAGCTGACCTGCAGCAAACACTTGAGAGCAAAAAATGTTCCACACTTTAATGCAAAAGTCTTCGTTTCAGTTAACAGAAGCGGCTGAGCAAGGAGCTTYGGCTGCTGTGTTGACTTTCCTGCTGCGTCTCGCACAGGGAGGCTTTGTGGACCGAGCCGGGAGGCCGGAGCTGACAGCTGCGCTTGAGGAGACGGGTGYGAGGGAGAGCTCTGAAGGGGAGTTTGCAGCAGCCAGGAGGTGTCGGGGCCTGGGGTGGGCGAGGTGCAAAGTGCTCCTGCCCTGGGCCCCAAGGGCAGGTTCAGGCTCAGGGGCTCTCCTTATTCTCTGTGCTCTGCAGCTGTGCGACATGGGCTGGCACCCCCACAGCCGCAAATGCTCCTCCTGCTCCTCCTTGTTCCAGGGGTGCTGGCGGGTCCCTGTCCCTCCAGCAGCAGGGGCAGGCTGCAGGAACGCTGCCCTTCGCTGCAGCAGTCAAGGGGTTGCTACGAGCTTAGCTGGGTTTGTGGAAGAGGCTTCGCTTGGCTGCAGTCAGCTCTGTGGGGATCCAGATCTGCCGCTCCCTGCAARGAGATCGGGTCTGTACAGCGGATACGTGGGCATGGGCTCGCTGAGCCCTTGTATTGCAAGCTGTGAGGGGGCTTGGTGGGCACATACGGGCTCCGTYGGCCACGGCTGATGTGCAAACTGTGTCGGTGCCACCCCGAGCTGCAGCTGGTGAGCCCCTGGAGAGGCTGCTGTCGCCCTGGGAAGGTGGCGTGGAGGTGATGGCAGCTGATCGCGGTTACCGCGTGGGGAGGACTGGCCTTTTTACATGACGAATCTCCTGTGGGCATGGAAACGAGTTTTAAAAAGGCAGCAGCAATACTGAGTTTTAGTTCTGGGAGCTTTGGGGTTCCTTGGTGCTTTCCAGAAGGCATGGCAGCTTTGGCTTTCGCCTGCTTTAAAGAGCACTGCGTTGGAAAAGCCTTGCCCAAGTAGTTGGCCCAACACCCCGTTGGTTGAGTTAATCTCTCCCTGCTCTGCAGAGTTTCAATGGTTAGGATTAGTTCCTCAGTCCAGGTTGGTGATATGGTTATGTGCTTTACACATGGGCTTGCCGGAGCGAACTGGAAGGGCATATACACAGGAAAATAAAATTGCCACTAATCTTTTTGTGTAATTTTGGTGTAACTGAGGTACTAGAGACTGAATTACCACTGCTTCAGCTCATCTAAACTCAATCCCACTGAGAAGTCAGTAATTCATCTGCAGATGTAATGAACTTAAAATATTTAACTGCAAGGGAACCGTGAAGGAAAAATCATTTGACATGTTTATTTTAGATTGCCTGCAAATAGCTGAATGGAGAGCTGTGTGCTTTGAGCATCTTAGCCAGCAGTTTCCCTACCAAAGATAAAAATGTTCTGTTTTATTTTCAGCTCCCAGTCCCACTACAGCTGTCCCTTACATGTCAGTGAAGTGCATTGATGTCAGAAAAAATCACCACAAAACCAAGTGGCTGATACCCTGGGGACCCAACCACTGCGAGAAGATCAAAGACTTCGACGAAGCCATGAGCAGGCAGATAGAGGCCAATGATATCGTGTTTGCYGTTCACATTCCCCTTCCTAGCAAGGAGATGAGCCCCTGGTTCCAGTTCATGCTCTTCATCATGCAGCTGGACATCGCATTYAAGATGGACAACGACCTGAGTAAGTCACTTTGTGCCGTTTATTATCTGCTGACTGTGGGCTGTTTAACTTGCCCCTGGCTGTGTTTCTCTTCAAATTCCTTTCATTTAGTACCGTATGTTAGCTGTTAGTTAAAGGGTCTGTATGTGCTGTGAGTGATACAGGAGCACATTTTAAAGGTAGGAGTATATAATAATATATCATAATATCTAGCTTTTCATGGAGAGCCACTTAGGCTGCAGTAGTAAGTGGCTGGGCATATGCTATCCAAGCAGCGAGAAGCTCAAACCAGCAGCACTAATTGTTCATGGTTCCAAGTTAAAGCATGTTGAACTGCAGGAACCTGCTTAAATCGCTTTCTTAAATGCAGCAACTGCCTTTGATAGCATTTGCTCGTGGGTTTCATAGATTTATCAACATGTTTCAAAATASTGATCAGTATCTTACCAAAACAGCAATTGTAGGTATGATTGCATCTTCTTTTAAACATTGTGGCAATATGCCATTCTGTGAAAAATCAATTATTTATTCATGGTTAGGTTATAGTTCTTGGTACCTTTAACTGACCTAAGTTGGGACTTTTCCAGCTTTTTCTCTGACTGTGCCCTCTCTCCCTTTGTTTGGGCCTGGGACCAGTGTTTGTGTGTTCATGCAGCGGGTTGTTCAAGCAGCAAATTTGTAAAATTAGCAAAACTAGCTGCTTTGTTGAGATCCAGGCCTAGCTCCTTAGGCTGAGGGCTCCTACAAGGAGCAGGGCTGCTGCAGGGGAGGGAGCTGGGTAGGTACCCTGGGAAGGGGCTCCTGTGAGGATCTATGTAAGGTTTAGAGAAATCACAGGGATGTCTGCCTTCTCTGATCAACATGGGCATGTTCCTTCCCAACTATATCATACAGCATGATTAAGATCACCTTAAATCTGATGTAAAAAAACAATCAAACTTGCTTATATATTTCTATCTATATTTCTAGAATTACTTCCAAAATATGGAGGGAATTATACTTCATAGCTTYATTAGGACCTCATCTTCTTAGGCTTTAAAAGATTACCATGTTTAGAAAAATAACTCTTCCTTCTGGTGCTGTTAAAATCAAGCCAGYGAACTGGATTTCGTCCCTGGCTGAGCACCTGCAAGCAGCCTGTTAAAAGGGCAGTGAGCTCTTGACTCTGTTTTTTCCCCCATAAGTGCAGAGAACCTTCTCGCCTTTGCTTGTGCAGTTCAGTGACTAATTCCTTCAAAGCTGGGATTTCTTTTTGAACTTTAAAAGCAGGAAAAAATAACTGCCTTTTGCCACCCCCTGGTTAATAAACCCAAAGTATTTGGAGATGAGAGATACTGCTCTTTAGATGTGAAAGATTTTKCTTCTGGTCATTATCTGCTCAATAGCTATTGGTGCTCTTTGTTTACAAGAAGCATTTTGAGATGAGACCTATTAATGCTTCTTATTGTGCAAGCTGGCTTGGCTCATCTGGAAGCTCTTTCATTGACTGCAAAAAGCTCTAAACTGCTGTTTTCCTACRCGCAGTGCCAAGCTGAAGTCAGATTTAAATTAAGTGTAAAAACTATCTAAGAAATGAGTGAATAACACATTCCTTGCTGTCTAGGTTGTGTTAAAAGCAGATAATAAAACAAAGTTAACCAAAAAGATTGTTAACCCAAAATTATTAAGTATTGGTCCTTTTTTGATAACTTTACAGGGTTTTATAACTTTATTTATCAGGCAATTGGAATCCACTTTTCAAGATAGGTGACATTAAAAATGTGGAATTAACTTAGTTCTGTTTATGTTTGTTTCAACTGATAGCTTTACRTGTGTTTCCTGGAGCCTTAGCCGAGGCCCTCGGCCACGTCTGTTGTCCTGCTGCAGCTAATGCCAGCAGGGGCTAGTGCCAAACCAGCAGAGAGCTCTGGAAGGCTTCACAGTTGTTAAAGACATTGTCAGCCGCCGTCATAATGAGGGCTCTGGGGCCGCCTCGGCTCCTCGAGGACAGCAGCTCCATGCAGGACCTGCCAGGGCCCGATCCCAGCGTCTCCGTGCCCGAGGAGCGTCCTGGGCCGCGACGGGAGGCCTGAGGTGGAGGCAGCGACTCCGCGGCTGGGACCCAGCGCTGTGGGGCAGCGCCGGCAGCTCAGCACGGGTCCGAGCTGGCCCTGTGGGGCTGAGCTTGGCGCCCGGCTCGCAGCCGCACCACGGCCTGGTCAATGGGTGCTGCGCGGCCCGGGCGCGCGGCCGGCCCTGCGGCTGCCGGCTGCCTCAGCAAGCGAGCCAGGGTTTCCCCGGGCACAAGGAAGTGTCCGGCCTGGCCGCAGGCCCCGCAGGAGCCGTGCGGCGGCCTCCGCAGCCTGGGACACCGCTCCGGATGCCGGCCATGCAGGAGCCCGGCTTGGCGTCCTCACCCCTCCAATGCTCCCCTGCACTCAGGTCCTACAGATATTTGACAAGCTAAGCCATTTCCCCCCATTTATCTCTGCCAGGAAGCCACGCTCACACAGGCGGGTTATTTCTGAGGAAAAAGCAGTTTTTGTGCCTAAGCTGTCTGTGCTTCATCCACGCAGCGTGTGCTCAGCTGTAGAGACACTGGCCGGAACAGGGAGAGAAGGTGCAAAGAGAAACCGGAGGAAGTTGTTGTAAAACTTTCCGTGCCTCGATAAGGAGAGCTGCAGCGGTAAACGTCGCCCGCGGCGCGCGCGGCCGCTCGCGTGCGCAGGCAGGCCCGCGCGGAGCGCCTCATTCACCCGCGGAACGGCCGCTCCGTGCGCGCGGCGCTGGCCGCGCTCCAGCAGCAACACAGCTGGGGACAGAGCTTAGTCACCGGGGCGATGGATGCAGCCCTGCGAGGGAATGTTTGTGTGCAGTAATCTGACATTTAGCTGGCTGGCAGCAGCCGCGCCAGTGAAGTGGAGTGAGCGCAGGAGCAGCCGTGATAATCTGGTTTCTGACCATGAGAAATCTCTTGTGTAGGGCGAGCACAAAAGGCGCCTTTTGAAACTTTAAGTGTTACTCTGTTACTGTGCAATTAGATCTTATTCCTGCCATTGAATCCCGGGAACACTGGGCCCTTCCAGGGAAGGGATAGAGGCCGTTTAGCTCGCCCAAGCCCCTTCTCCCAAGTGGCCCCTGTCCCAAGAGCGCTGTCTCACGTGACGCCGTGCTTGTCTCGCTAAGGTGGCCCTAGTAATTGCATTTGCCCTGCCTTTCACCCCCGCATTGCTGCTGCTTGGACCAAAGCAGCGATATTTCTGTCCGCAGGCAGCACTCTGCTTACACAGGCTTTTAAGGATTGCTTAAATTCCYGTTCTTTTACAGGTTGCGTTAATCTGTTTGTTCCCATGGCTTTAGGCACTTCCATTTTGCTTCGGAAATCCACAGCTGCTTCGCCTTGGCCCGTCCTTGCTGACACCGGGGAGCGTCAGCGCGGGGCGGATAAGGAGCCGGGCCGCGCGGGAGCCTCGGTGCCCGTGAGCTCTGCTGTTCGCAGCAGGGCACGGTCCTTCTCTCCGAGCTGCTCCACGGCACAACCGCTACGTGCCGAGACCCAATGCATTTGTATTCGCGCGCAGCCCGAGCAGGGGGCACGGAGTCTGCTCCGCCGCGGCCTGCCGCAGGCTCGCGTGAGCAAAACTCTGACCTTCACCCTGCCGTTTCACTCGTGCAAGAGAAGAAAAAGAAACTGCTTCACATTCATTGGAYGTTTAGAGATGAGATGTCCCTTGCATGCACAAAACGACAATTGCACCATCCTGCACGGTCAGTGACGCTCTCCTCCCTTACGAGGTGGCAGAGCAATGTGGCCGGCCTTTAAAGTTGCTCATTCTGACAAAACATTTCCTCTTTTTCTATTTCTAGCAWATTTGAAATGTTAGTAAGTGAGAATGGCTTCAGTTTGCCCTTCAGAAGGACTTGTATACAATTTTATGGCTGAACACTTTATATTCCTCTTCARATTTATACAGATTTGTCTCTGTAGTGTGTTTGTGGTTTAAGAAGGCCACTAAAGTACAAAAACATGATCCAAATTATTTTCTTTTGCAAGTTTTGCACAGTTGTTTGCTTGCACAGACTTCTTTGGCTGGCAGTATTAGCATGCAGCTGGCACAGAGGCATCTTCCTAAACAACWTCTCTATTTTTAGGCTATCGTAATGTGCGTGAAGTCACTGAGAGCTAATATCACTTAAAAGTGAATCATAGAAAAGATCCTGGATACTGATTTTCCTTTTTTTTTTTCCTTATTTTCAACGACAGTGCTCCAAGTATGAAGGGTATCAAAGAGTGCCAGAGTATTGGGTTCTTAMAGCTGTGACCTGCTTCTTAGTGTGAACCAAGAGAAGTCCAAATGCTGAAAACTGTAGCAAAAGCGTCTTGACCGATAGCTGGTCATCCTCAGAAAATATCATTATAAAAGCAAACTGTAGCCTTGTCTTGGTGCTTTAATTAAATATTAGGGTATGTCCCCCAGCAGCTCATTGCTGGTCAGAGGTGGTTCACCAGGCTGCACATTACCTAGACATTACTTACAATGCTCTATTGAATATAGGAATTATGATTGAATGGCRAAAACATTTTCAGTGCCAGTGACTTTGTGCAGGATTCCTCTTTGATAACAATGGGTGAACAYTGGATGAGGTGCCCTGCATGGGCTGTGTGAGATGGTGTTTCCTGCAAGGACAGTTCCATCTTTTGATACTGAATATGAAGGAGGTTTCTGTCTATCTATTTCCACTTCTTCCTGTTGGGCAGTTCTGGAGAATCTTAATTACCAGGCACGGAGGAAGGGAATAATTACTTTCCTGAGCTGAGTATAGGTATATAGCTTTTTCTATTCCTTCCTTACCGGTCTGCCACCTTTCCCTGCTCTGTTGTGGCTCAAGCTTGAATATATAAAATACTCTGCCCTCTGTCATTGCTTTTTTGTGTGTGTGTGTTTATCCCTTTTTATTTTCCTACAGATAAAATTAGAAAGCAGTTTCCTTCATTATCGTTATCTAGTTTGTACCATCTACCCAAGATCTTGTTAGAATTTGACTGCTGTAATATTTTATACACACAAGAAAATTGCTTTTTTGAAGTTTGTGCCTACTTGTTTTTATGCCCCTTTACTCTTGATCTTTGTTCTTCTGACATATGTGGTTCCAAGAGCTCTCTTTTCCCCCCCACCCTCTCACCAGAAACAAATCCTGGCTCAATGGCCAGTCTGCAGCCTCCTGTCCTCTCCTCTCATCTTTTACCTTGATGGTAAATAACATTGTTGAAGGCAAAGGCCTTGAGCAGCAGTAATACTGTGCCTGAAAAGCACAGCATGACTGTGCTTAGACTCCTCTCCTTGTCTATCTAATATCTTCTGTCTTAATATCATGAAGATGTATCATCATAGCATGCACAGAGAAGTCACACATCTGCTGAGGACCTAGCAGTCTGCCAGGTCTGGTGTATTCCCACCATGGGAGCAGGCTGGGTCCGGCAGCAGGGTATCAATGCARCACTACAATACTCACTGGATGGTGGAGTCTTGGGTCACTGCCATGAGGTGGGATGGGAGATGGTTCTATTAAGTGGGAGATGGTTCCCAATATAGGGAATTCTAGTGGGAGATGGTTCCCACTGTAGGTATTAACAGACATTCACAGCCTAAATTACGTTTCCATGGGCTGGGGAGGATCTGGGAGTAGAGCTTYGGCCTTCTGATTTTCATAGGCAATTGCAGCAGCAGCATTTGGATTACAAAGATGAAATAATAAAAGCTGTTTCTGTTGGATTTAATCCCAAACATTCCAGTTGGTTTTATGGCCTCTGAAATAAAATTTGTAGTTCCCTTTAATGAGGCCAAGTTTAACCTTGTGTTCCCACTTATCCCTTTTTTTGCTGGTCTTCTCAAAAGCAGATCTGAGAAGGAGAATTCCATGTCTCGCGGAAACCTAACTAATGGCYGCTGTAGAAAAGAACCTGCTGTCAATCTGGATAGTGTGTGTACAAAAGAAATGCTCTCAAGAATCTTGTTTCATCCACATTAAAGCGTAAGAGAGCCACCTCCAAGCACTGTATAAATAGCAAGTCTAAACCGCAGAGACCATCCACACCCCTTCCCATCATTTTGGATGAGTGTGCTGCCACATAGCCCCAACAAAAATATAACTGAAAAAGATGACAAGTATATGGGGTATGACTCTCAAGCGCCATATATTTATGTTTTCTTGTAGAAATTGAACATTTTCCCTTCAGAATTGTGAAGATGGGATCTTTTTCAGAATAATGAAGCATGGGTGCCAAATTTCAAGATCACTGCTTGTGTCAGATACTCTTTTTGTTAGCAATCTATTTCCATATACAGGATTTTGCTGTGAGAGAGAGCAGTTATTTTTCACATGCAAATTCATGGTGAAAAGTGATGGCCATTGATATCCAGGCGTTCCGCTTTGCTCCACTGACCAYGCTGAAAGACCAAAGAGGCATCTGTAGAGCGACAGGACACGGTTTCTTGTTATCTAATATTGCAGATTAGATGGAATCTGTGGTGAGGGACWTGCCAGAGAGAAGCTTGGGATGTCCCGCATCCCAAGCCTGCCCATCAGCTTCCAGGCAGCTTCAAAGCATGAGCTATTGGCAGCACCAACACGGCGTGTCGGCGCTGGAGCACGTAGCGAAGGGTTCAACAGTTTTTTGATGGCTACAGCTACCTGGAGGAGGTTGGCGAGCTGTGAGAACAGGCTAGGCTGCAGCATGCATGTGTTTCTTGGGGAATGTTTTTCTCTTTGAGCGCCTTCCCTTGGATCAGTGCCTGGTAAACGGGAGGATTTTGTATCTGGTAGAGCTGGTACAGACTTGCTTTAGGTTTCTAAAGCATTTGTGTTGCTGCTTGGCAGACTTGCACTGTAGCTCTTAATTTCAYAGACTTGGTCACTCTAAATAAGTCTGTTTTAACCCTGTTTTCTTCTTACAGCAATGACCTCTTAGAAACATCATAGAAGGCGAGCGTTTGAAAGCAGTTGTATTTGCACCCCACATATTCACCCTAAATGTGTCCAAGAGAGGCTGGGTTGACTCTTTGCCCGTGATGGCAAGAGCACTGTCCTGAAGACCTGACACTAGTACAACTGGTGGAACTGATGTAAAAGCTCATTTMCAAACAAGCTGTTGAGCTAAATCTTATGTGGTCGCCTGATCTAGGGGTAGAAATGCTCCTGTGTGATTGCAATCCATAGTGCTGGAAGCAAGAGCGTTGCTCATGGGCTGTGTCGGCGAGGGGCTACAAAATCCTCATAGCAAGCTTATGTAGAATGACTTATGTTGGAGGCTGCACGTAGAAAACATTGTGTGGAGACTCTTTTCTCTGRAATTGTAGGATTTTCCTCTTCCCATCGAGACTAGTGCAGCTAAATTTTATTTATCTCTCTATTTATTTGCAAGGAACTTTGTAGTACTTCTTGTTAGTCTGGGAACCTGGGATTACCTAAGGCTGTTTCTGAAGTGATTTTACTTTCAGTGATGCGTTTCAGTGTTTCCCCAGAAGTGCCTCCACCATCCCAAAAGAGCTCTGGGAACCTCTTTTGCTTTGGCATAAATTCTCACTTTTAGAGTACATCTTTGTCAAATGCCTTTTTATTCAAGATGCAGGGTGTGTTTTATTGTGTGGTGTTCAGTCGAACAGATGGGGCTCAGCTGGACTGAGCAAAAGTTGAGCTTACTTGATCAGGACAGTGCTCTTCCTAGTAGGTGCTTGAAGGTTGAACTGAGCCATGAAGAAAAATCTAAGGTTACACTGCTAGGTGACTTTTACTATCACATTTAATTACATTTTAATTTAAATAACTTACCATTAGTTGCATAGTTTTTCATTTATACAGTTCATCAAACCATGTACAGACTTACAGTTTATCTATTTCATTCTATTTTTATTCAGCTGACAGAAAAATCCAATGTCAATTTAAAACATATTTTGTGATACACTGGCCTTGCTTTCTGACAAGGAAGGATCTAATGCATATCCATTTATTAAGTGCAGAAGGTGTGAGCAAAAGCTTGTCTTGGTCTCCCTGGCAGTGTGTGGTGGTGAGCATGCTGGCTGACTTCTTGGTTTATTGCCTGTCTTTGCAACCAGGGTTTCAGTTTAATGTGAACTATAGCTTCTGCACTGCGTGAATAATGGCCCTTACCCACAACCATGACACGAGCTGTAGGTTGTAAGTTAGCAACATATCAGGCTTTTATGACCCATAGAAATTAGGCTCTTACTCCTCTACTAGAGAGGAGATCAACGCTTTGAATAAAGCTAGTTGGACCTGTATTGTCTGGAACACAAAGGTTTTATTCTTGCTGTAACTTTGCCTCTTTCACAGGCCCTTTCAGCATTTAGAGGCTCTTCGACCTCTTGGGTGCCCAGTACCATTCCTGTTCTGCCTAACAAGCTTGATGTTTCCCTCTTCTTGCAGAAGAAAACGCAGAAATTACCCTGGATGTGTCCTTAGCGTACCGTGATGACATGTTTGAGGAGTGGAAAGAGATAGCACACGCGATAGAGCTCAGGAAGCTGAAGTGCACCTTCAGCTCACCGAAGGTAAGGTGTTCTGACCATGCTGGAAGCGGGGAGGTGTGGGAGCGCAAACACTGAATTGTTCCACTGTAACTTTCAAACTTGTCAGCTTTATTTTGGATCAAATTCTTTGAAAACGTGATGAGCTCCTTGTGCCATTTGTTCTGTTTTGTGATGTAAGGAGAAGGCTGAAGGTAGAGTGTGAATCAGGACAGTAACGAAGAAGAGGCTGAGGCCAATGCATGGGTCCAAGTGCAAACAGGAACAAAACTGCAAGGAAAGTAGCTTATCCAGGGACACTACAGCAGTCAAAGAACAGGGGGAAACGGGATCAGAGCTTCTTGAAATAGTTGCTCAGTGCCTCAAGGCATAAGGCTTAGGAGCATAGACCACAGCCCACAGTGAGAACTAAATATCTTAGTCAAATAAAGATTTTGGGTTTTTTTTTTTGTGCTACAGACTGTAGTCAGACTGTAGTTCCTTGAATTGCCTTCACCATGCCGTGTTTTTCAGCTCTGGGCCCTGTTGTCCCATTACAGAAAGCAGTCCCTTTCAGCAGACCACTTGCACCTCCAGGAACACTTGTGTTCTTCCACGGGGCCCTCCACACACTAGCTAGACTGCTGATACATATCTCTCGACTTGTAAGAGATAAACAAAGCAATAAACCCACGATCCAAAAGTCAGGTTCCCAGCTATGTTCGGAGCTGGGGTCTTGCAGAAACACGTGACGAAGGCCGTGCCATTGCGTGAAAGAAGCTGACCACCACCCGCTACTGCTCTGTGTCCTTCCCTAGACCCTGGACTCGGAAGGGCGCCACTATGACTGTGACTTCCTTCCCTTCATGGAGATTGGAAGCGTGGCTCACAAGTACTACCTCATCAACATCCGCCTGCCCGTGAACGAGAGGAAGGGCATCAACGTGGGCATTGGGGAAATAAAGGACATCCGCCTCGTGGTAAGTGCCTGCCTGGCCTGTGCTGGGGCTCCTTGCTCCACTCTAAGGAGTGACTGTGTTCAGTGGGGTGAGGGTGCTTCAGGCTGGAACTGTCATTGCAGAGAGCCTGTGGCTCCTTTCTTGTCCTCCACCTCTTTGATCCACAAGGAAGGTCCTACGCTTCGTCACAGGCTTCTCCAGCCTGTGATCATGCTGATGTGTGCTCTCCTGGGCTGCAAGGAGAGGCAAGGGATCCCTCTTACCCGAGGGGTCTCCTCTTTGAATGTTCCCTTCTGAAGAGGCCTCCMTGGTTCCCTGCCTGAGCCCTGAGCTCCCACTCACCAGCTGCAGAGCCAGGCTCGTCCCATGTCCCCGAGGGCCCCTTTTCCCTCCTCTGTCCTTGCAGTGGTCCGACATGGGCAGAGACCTCTCCTGACTGAATCCTGCCTCTYGTGCTAAAGAGCTAAGGAGCAAGGCAAGGGAGGGCCTTGGAGCCATAGGCTTTGGCGGGGCCCAGCGCTGTCACTGAGGTGTCCGTCGGCTCCCAGCTCTCCGGGTGCGGTGGTTGTGGGGCCTGTTGGTGACACCACCTCCCACCTCCGCTGCTGTCCATCAGCCGACTTGCTGTGRTGGCTGCGGGTGTGGGGAGGGCAGGTGTGTGGGGACACACCTTGGYTGGGCTGATGCTCTCCCCAGCAGTGGGGACCAGCTCCCTGTGCGGCCTGTTGCTCTTTGGGAACGGTTTTGTCTGCTTTTCCCATGCTGGGTTGGAAGTGCCTCTCTCAGACCACCTCCCTGCTCCCGATTAARGCTGCACAGTCTGATTTTCAGGACTTTTTGAAGCCTGCATGGCTGGTCCAGGGGCTGAGTAGGCAGCTGCTCTTTCCTGTGTTGAAAAAACAGTGTTTTGCAAAGGTGATTGCATCTACATTAGCTTGTGTGTTAGATGTTGCAGTGTACTTGTCTCTCAGGTCAGCACAGGAGAGCGTAAGAATAAGCGTAAGAATAATGATGCTAAAGTGTGTGCAGCTGCCGCAGTCACCTCTGTTTTTCCTTAGGGTATCCATCAAAATGGAGGCTTCACAAAAGTGTGGTTTGCCATGAAAACTTTCCTCACCCCCAGCATCTTAATTATCATGGTGTGGTATTGGCGACGGATCACACTGATGACACGGGCCCCCGTGCTGCTGGAGAAGTGAGTAGGGGCGAGTGCCGAGTACGGATGGGGTGGCTCTGCTGGGTGGTGTTTGGAGCATGTACAAGAAGCCCAGCTGAGGTTCATGACAAAATCACAGCCTCTCTCGAGCCTCGTGACCATGGCGGACATGTGGGCCCGGCTGCTTCTTMTGGGGCTGCTTTTGCCTGTGGCTGCATTAAGGGCTTCGTCCCAAAGAGTTTGGTGGAGGGAAGGTGCTGCCTTCAGCCTTGGGAATGCTCCCATTGCCACCCATCCCACGCTGCTTCGCTCCTCGTGTTGCTCCTCTGCCTCTATCACTCTGTATCGCTTCCTTGCAAGCTGGAATGACGTGGTATTTCTGCTTCTCCAGGGTCATCTTTGCTCTGGGAATTTCCATGACGTTCATCAACATCCCAGTGGAGTGGTTCTCCATTGGATTTGACTGGACTTGGATGTTACTGTTTGGAGACATTCGACAAGGCATTTTCTATGCCATGCTCCTGTCGTTTTGGATCATCTTCTGCGGAGAGCACATGATGGTAGGTAGGACACTGACAAAAAAGGGGCTGCCATCCCTACTTGCAGCAATACCTGGGCAACCTCTCTTTGCTTGCTGCCTGTTGGGAACAGTGCTGTGGGGCTGTGTTCTGGGGCAGATGGTCACACACTAACGTGCTGCTCTTGGTTTCTCCTACTCTCCTCTCACCTCCTGACGCTTCRATTAGGATCAGAATGAGCGGAATCGCCTCTCTGGCTACTGGAAGCAGGTTGGACCCATCGCTGTTGGCTCCTTCTGCCTCTTCATCTTTGACATGTGTGAGAGGTAGGTGAAGCYCTGCCTTGGGAGCAGCGTGTCTGCCCGACCCAAAAAGGGGACCTTTCCTTATGGGCACACAGAGCAGCCATGGGGAGTTGTAGTTCTGCAAGCGGGAGCAGAACTGYGGTGCTGGGGCTCAGCATCTGAGTCCAGGCAAGTGTCCGTGGGTCCCGGTGACTGCACTGTGGCACGTGGGGAGAGGGGCAGAGCCTTTATACCCTCCAGGGATCTCCTGCACCTGCCTGATTTTGAGGACACGGTTTCAAGGTGCCACAATGAGTGAGCAAGCAAATGGTTTAACGTGCGTGACTGGATGAGAGATGAGACGTGTCTCGTGTGCTGCGGTGTGTTTCTTGTTTGCTCGCCCCCGTGGAAAGATGTGTGCAGGGATGGGACAAGTCCTTGCTCTTCTCTGCGGGCCTTTCTGAGGGTTGCTGAGAAGCAGTTGATAAACACAGGTGTGTTTTGTGGCGCTGGAAAGGGCCAAGCTGGCTGAAGAAATGGAGGGGACTTGTTGCAAGCACCAACATGCACACAGATGTGTGGCCCTGATAGCAGCTTACCCACCAAGCAGGGTACCAGCAAGCACCAGATACCCACCAAGCAGGCCAGTCTTTCCCTGTGACAGAGAACAACCCTAACGAATGCTGTGCAGTTCTCTGGCAGGTCAGAGCAGCCTGTCCTGTCCCTTGGATCAAAAAGAGACGCTTCTCCCCTGGCCGTTCTGGTCTAGAAGGGAAGGCAAGGGCTGCTCTTGTCGGGTGGCTCTTTCCAGGCTGCAGGGCAGAAGTGCTTCTCTCTGGGCCTTTCAGCACCCTGTTACAGCACTGTGTTTTCTCTTCCTTGCCAGGGGAGTGCAACTGAAAAACCCCTTCTACAGCATCTGGACCACCGAGGTGGGCACGGAGCTGGCTGTATCCTTGCGCTGGGCCTGGGGTCCCTTGCTGCTGCGGGGGAAAGGGAGGCTGTCTTCCTGCGGATCCCCGTGGCGGGGAGCAAACCCTTCTCCTGCGGCAGGGCAGGGCTCCAGGAAGGGCTCCGGGAAGGGCTCTGGGAGGCGCCTGCGGATTGGGAAGCGGCAGTGGCAGCCGGTAGCGCTGGGAACCGCGGATGTGCTTGGGGAGAAGCGGCTGGGAAGGGAAGCGCTGCCTCGAGCGGTCTRGGGAGCCGCACAGGAGGACGGAGCTCCCGGGAGCTGCCAGGGATCCCAGAACAGGGCTGCTGCAGCTCGCCCTGCTGCCATCGCCCAGGTGCTCGTGTTGAAGCGCCAGGAGCTGCTCCTTCGAGCTGCCCTGTTCTACTGAGGCACCTCCGCTGGCACCGCTGTCCCTTGCTGGGCTGGGAGGAGCTGAGCCCTTGGCTCCCTTCCCGGGGCGCATCCCGGCCCCTCGCGGGAGCCTCCCGAAATCGGAGTCCTGGGGGAGCATCAGCACCGAGACCAGGCCGGGGGCTGCCGCGCTCGCGGGAGCAGCGGCCCGTCTTTAATCACTGCTGTGCTCCAGAAGTTGAGTTGTCATCTTGSTGATATCGCCAATGTAAGTGAGCCCCCTGAATTGTGCTTTGTGTTATTTCCATTTCGTATATGCTGTTTCTCTTAACGTACACTATTCAGATGGCCTTTATTATAGTTGCGGGCATTTGCCTGTGCCTGTATTTTCTGTTCCTGTGTTTTATGGTCTTCCAAGTGTTCAGGAACATCAGTGGAAAACAGTCCAGCCTGCCGGCTATGAGCAAGGCTCGTCGTCTCCATTACGAGGTGGTAACTYGTGACTGCTTAGCCTCTTTATTAAAAAAAAATGCATTTTCAGCTTCATTTTGGTTTTGCAAGGGCATGCTAAAAACTTCTTTATTGATGTTTTCCTGAATCTGGAAATGTGATTTTTATCGGTTTTCTTATGTTGCTCAAATCTCTCTAATTACCTTTGTTTTTTCCCCCCTTTATTTGGGTCTTTAGCCCTGATGTCATGTTTTGATCCCCCAGGAGGGTGTGCAAGTCTCATTTCTATGGGTAACTGGGATCTGCCGGTTCTCTATCTTTTCCCTCAGAACAATGTTTGAGGATAGAGGATAATTCGCCAAATTACAATTTAAGCTACTATGGGAAGAAAGGCATCACGCATCTCTGTGTCCCAGTTTCTCCTTCTGCAATATCAGGGATTGTGTGTAATGGAAAGCATTATTAAGACCTTCATGTTTTTTCATACCACAAATTCACAGATCTGGGGAGTTATTTTCATAGAGAAATGTCAGGAGACTGTCAGAATAGAATTAAAATCCAGTGCATTCAGCTAATTATCCCCCTTTTAGTCTGTGTTTCTGTATGTTGTTTCTGTCCTAGCAGTCTTTATGTGCTGCAAAACAAGGGGAGCTCACTCAAAGTGCTAAAGCTGAGCGAGCTGGTTGTTTTCCTGGGCGTGGAAATATTTTTCATCAATATTTTTGTGTTGAATAATGAATAATGTGTTGAATAATGATCAGCTCCAATTTGAAAATCTAGGCAAGATATTTAGCTTTTTTTCYCCCATCTATCCCCTTAATGAGAGGTGCCAGAATTCAGCTTGTACTGTTCTGTAGCTGTGCTCCAGACACGAGCATCTAGCAGGCCTGAATCTTATCTGGAGAAGTTAAATTAATAGCTATTTGTGGTCATGCTGTGGCCTAATGGCTATGCACACACTGTCATTTCCTCCAAAATTGCAGAAACAATTACAAAGAAATAAAAGAGGAAAAGAAAACAAATCCAGTAAAATTTTAAAACTAGTAAAGGCAAATGACGTGCGTGGTAGGATTCCAGACAATGTGATCKTGAGCCATAAGTTGTTTATCTTACAATTGATGCTCTTTTGCAATATGCAGACTAGATTCTGACAAGCGTTTGGAATTGCTGTAATTTCCTGCTGTAACTTTGGGTATTCTTTGGGGATAAGGATTGGTCCTTTTGTGCAAACCCAGTAGAGCGCTACTCTGGAACACGGGTGCTACTCTAGCACACGGGTGCCTTGCTGAACTGCCGAAGCTCCCCGTGGAGGTCACCAAAGGCAGGTCACAAAAGTGTGAGGTGTCGGGTTGGCTCTTCAGTCACGTCCAGCTCGGGCTGCTAAGCCTCCCCGCTCGCATKAACTCACAGTAAATCAGGCACAAAAGCGCGTGTAATGGAAAGCAAGAGCTGTCCAGACATGTAGGCCCGAGTCGGCGTGTCGGGAGGAATGCAGACGTGTGTGGGGAGTGGAGAATATTGGCTGTCAGGAGCAGGGTACAAAGCAGTGGGCGGGAGCTGTTTTGGTTTGGGGTTTCGTGGGTTGGACTCTTTTTTTTTTTAACTTGTCTTTTACATGCTAAAAACAAAAATGGGTTTTTGTGGATTCTGTTAATGTGACCAGTGACATTTCTCTCTAAGCAGGGGTTGATCTTTAGGTTCAAGTTCTTGATGCTCATTACTCTGGCGTGCGCAGCAATGACCGTCATCTTCTTCATCGTGAGTCAGGTGAGTGCTGAAACTCGGCTCCGTCTGAGCAGGTCAGCCTCAAATTCCCCGGTACCAGGGTCAGCTTATGCCTACAGGTTAGAGAGAAAAGGGCTGCATGCATGTTGTAGGTAGAGCTGCTTTTTAAGACCTTGTTTGCCTTTATTTAAAACCCTGCCATGAAATCGGTGAGGCTGAAACTTTCACAGAGGCGCCTGGCTCACAGCGATGTTTGGGCCTGTGTTTTCTGAAGTATCAGCCAGAAAAGTTCAGGCACTTCTGAGAACCCAGCAAGAGGGAAAATGCTCTGTTCGTGGTAAAAGAATCCTGTGGCTTTTTATACCCCAAAGAAACATAAGAAATACCAGAATTAAACATTTCCTGGGTTTGGCTTAGCAACCCTATTGTTTCTAACAGCATATATTTATTCCAAGCTAGGATGCAGTCTTTCTCTGCAAATGAGCTTCCCATGCAAATGGCCCACAGCTAGAATTGCATTTGTCTCAAAGATGACGTTTATCATCTTCTTGCTAGGTGCTCTATAGAATTAGATGTTCGGGGGCATTTTCTCAGCTCTCTGCACTTTAGGGTTTTTAGAARGGCTCTGCTTTAGGGTATGTGGTGGGTCCTGATGGAAAATATAGCAGGAAAATCTGTGAGCCTGATGCAAAGGTTTGAGGAATACCCTGTGCAGTTGAGCACATCACTAACAACCATAAGGACTGCTCTCCATGGGCACAGSATAATCTGTCCTGCCCAGCCTCTCTCTGCCCAGGTCACTGGGGAGCCAGGGCTTGTGCTGCTGAGGTTGCTCTTTGGAGCAGGACCTCCCCTTGCTCCCAAGGGAAACTCGCCTTATCAGCAAAAGACAGGCTATCACCTTGGGGCTTAATGTTGTAGCGTGAACAGCCTGTGTGTCTTCAGGTTGTGTTAATATTGATGATATCTTCATAAGTCTTGACACATTTCTGTATGTCTAAGGCTGATGCTGTCAGCCCAGGCATCSAGCACATTAGTTTTTTGCATTATTCATGCCGCTTTTCCTTGTGTAAAAGGTCTATTTATAGACGTCTAATGTTTTCAGATGTTACTAGCTGTTTCCTAGGTACTGCCCTTTATGCCACAGTCCCTGCCGAACACCTCCRTCCTGGCAATGTTAGACCACAGAATGTCAGAGATTCTGTCACTTTACAGAATGATAAATCACTGCAACTGTCTTCCCTTTGGAAGTTCCGTTTTTCCTGCAGATGGGCATTAGCAAAGGGAACTTGGGGCTAACCTCTCTGTCAGCGGGGCTGTTATACATCCATTTATGTGATCTCGTTGAGTATTTTCTTATCAATTCACTCAAAGCTGGCGCGGTAGCATGAGCTGCTGTCAGTTCTGCCCTCCTGACGTGTGTGCGTGTGCCGCTGTCCCCCGGGCAGGTCACTGAAGGCCACTGGAAGTGGGGGGACATAACGATACAAGTGAACAGCGCCTTCTTCACGGGCATCTACGGCATGTGGAACCTGTACGTGTTCGCGCTCATGTTCCTGTACGCCCCCTCGCACAAGAATTACGGCGAAGATCAGTCCAACGGTAAGCGGCTCTGCCTGATCCGCGCGGGACAGCTCTCATGGGAACGATGTCAGGCGTTSATACTCGTGAGCTTTTTTTGCTGAAATGAAAATTTATCATCCCAAAATGTTACTCATGTGATMGCTTGTTTTCAAAACACTTTTTTTTTTCATGCAGACGTTTTATTTGAAGTCTACGTTTGGAAAGCCTATATACTTAGTCCATGCTTTCTAGAAATATTCTAGCTGTTCTCCTTTGTTAATATTAATTTTAAATCATAGAAGCCACTTTGTGTGGTGGCTCAGCTCCTTAATAGGTGGTTTCTTGGGATTATTGCTGAAAGATTATTTCAATAATCACTAGAAAACTGAAAGAAAACRAAGGTGCTTTGTCCAAATGTAATTCTTTTGGTCAAATTGAGGAAGGAGGAGAAAAGGAGGAAACAGAAATGTGGCCAAGTGGAGAACGGCAGTACTCTTGGTTGCTTTTCAGAAGTCTTCAGCAGCACAGATGAGATCAGTAGAGATGTGGGTCCTTAGTTCACGTCACTGCTGCTGCGAGTGGGCAGTGACCCAAACGCGCTGCGCGCCCACTGTCTCGCTGTGAGAGCAGCCTGCGAGGGTGCCTGTGTTCGCAGGTGACCTGGCCGTGAGCAGCGGCGAGGAGCTCCAGCTCACCACCACCATCACGCACGTGGACGGGCCCACCRAGGTCTACAAGCTGGCGCGCAAGGAGGCTCAGGAGTAGCGYGGAGGAGAGCTCGGCGAGGCGCCCRCGCGGAGGGTACGCAGGACGACGCAGCATCCTCCTCGAGGAGATGTGTCCGAAGTAACTTGCTTTATCRAGGCCCGGTATCTAGTGTGTTTTCACGGAGCAGCGACACCGGGCAGAACATTTGTAAACTCTTTAATATGGTGTAGTTCTTTCTGGGGGGAGGGATACCTGTATTGTGTTACACTCAAGCACATAAAGACCTGCTAGAAAAGCATTAAGGTTGCAAAGTCGCACATTCAGAAGGTAGGACGTGGCAGAGCTCACATAGTTTGTRTTTGGCTGCCTTGTGCCTGGGCATACAGTGCAAGCCATGCATGGAGCTCAGTTCATGAGTGAGGATTCAGTATTTTGAGTACTTTTTTTTTGGGTGTGTAGCTTTTAATGTGTTGGGTTTGGGGTATGGACTAAAGCCTCACTTTTAAAACATTCAATTCCATCATCTCTTAACCATAATGATCCCAATTTGTACTCTTTAGTAAAACTCTTTAATTCCGCAGCAAACCTCTTATCACTTGAGTGAAGCATAACTAGGGAAAGGAGTAGATTGTTTGTAATATGTAAGATTTTAAGTAGAAGAAGAAACAACATGCTTTTTCAGTAGGTTTTACTGCTGTTTGATGAATATAGGGGAATGTAAAAACTTGATGCCTGAGTTCAGTTTCAGATGCAGGAGAAATGTGCTGAATTCCTAGAGGTACAGTTCTCAGAGCCAGCTCCGGCCTGTTTCTCAGCCTCTTTGGCTCTCCTCCTCCTGTTATCTTCTTCCATCTTACCTATTTGTTATGGCTGCTTCATTTTATGCTGCTTTTGTGCCATGAGGAAGAACAGAAAGAGCCCAGGAGAGGGTCTGTTCTGGGCTCCAAGGCTGTAAGACAGGCAGAGAATCTGCTGGAGAGCCCTGCTTGTCCTCACACTGCCACGATGGAGCATACTTGGTGGTAGAGACGGACGTTTCTGATGATTAACAGACTTGAAGAATTCCCCTCGTCACGCACTAGCATGATTCTTTGCTTTCCAGAGGAAAAACAGTGCTAGAAGATGAGATCAGCCCCCTTCCTTGAGTAGGTAGAACTGACTCTTGTGAGATGACCAGCAGTGGAGGAGAATGGGCGCTAATTGGGATGGAGGCTTAAACTGGACTTTGCTGGGGACAAGATGCCAGTGGATTTTGATGGCTTTGGGCTCAAACCGAAAGGGCCCATCCTGCTCAGGACATTCTCCTGGGACCTAGAGAAGAGCCTGACAATCCAGAGGGCCTCATTACCTGATACCAGACCAGGTCTGATCTGTGTCTGTTTCTTGGTAGCTCTGTGTCTCGCACCCTCCCAAGTCCAGTTTGCTCCCTGGAAGATACGAGAGGCCCAAGAGCACCGCAGCTTCCAGAGCTCCCGGCACTTCTCAGAGATACCACTGAGTACCACACCTACTCAAATAGGGGACACTCTGTCCTGGGATTCTGCAGTCCTCTGGAATTACACACAAACTGTTCAGTGTATGAAGGCTGCAAAACCAAGGCATAACTAGGAAGCAGTGTAATTGATATGATCCGTGTAGCCTAGTTCATCTCTAGCCAATGTATGCGTTAAGACAGACGATTAAAGATTGTTGAGCGCTATTTTTACAATAAGTTCTGGTTTATATGTGTGTTTTGGGCTCTGGGCAGGAGGTGAGGCTGTGAAGCTGGCAATCCTGTCCCTACCCGTGTCTCCCCCGGGACGCGTTGGGTCACACTTGAGGAATGTTGGATGCAACACTCCAGATGAAGTCACTGCTCGTATGCTGCTATCTTATCTGGACATGACGAAATCACTGTGGCGCCAAACAGTGCTACATGCTACTTAAAAAGAAAAGTAGCTTTGGATGATTTTGAATACTTGAACCGGAACAGTAAACATTTTGGGTAAGTTGATCTTTTTCTAAAATGGGACGATAATGCCCCTGTAATCAATGGATAGCTTATTAAAAATAGGAGGAAAAAAAGAAAAAAAAAAGAGGAGGAGAATACAATTAAGTTCTAGGACTTTACTTTCAACAGTGTTGGCAAAATTTAATTTGTTAGCAAACTGCATAAGGAAGCAAGTGCTGGAAGAAAAAATAATGTATGCTGCAGTAGCTCTTCAACTAGGAGGTGAATTAAAGCAACGCACACAACCACAGTTCCAGCATTCTCCTGGCTGAGTGCTCGACTTTGCAACTTTAACCTTCTTTTTACATTGGGTTCTTATGTCATATTTATGTTGTTTGATTAGATGTCTCCATGATTTTTTTACAGCTTAGTATAGCATTGCATTTTGTAAAGGCTCTTTACGAATGGGGCATTGCAGCTTTAAAACCAAATTTTGTGTCAAACACTAATGGTTTATTTGGGGTGGGCAGGGCACATATGTGTGTGTACATATATATTATATATATATATATATAAATATATATATACTTTTTTATTTCTTAATTCCTAAGCCCTTCTTATACATCTCAGAAGTAGTCCATGGATCTTACTAAAATATATCCCTTTTTTGTTTAGATTGTGTTCACTTTTTACAGACTGCTTTAAGCAACCTGGAAAACACGTAGGTTTGTTAATTTAAATAAACAGTCCTGTGGTTTTGCTGGTGGCCTGGCTCGCCGAGTGAGAAGACAGCATAGCTTTTCTGGCTGTGATCTTGTTTGCTTTTATTTAAGTCCAATATTTGAGGCAAGAGACAACTGGCTSGCAGTGATTCCCTCCGCTGCGACTTACTGCGGGAGCTCTCCTTGCTCTGCCCTCCACCCTGCCCAAATCTCCTTGCTAAGAGGAGCCCGTTTCCCGTAGCCAACAAACTGTCTTCTCCATAACCTCTGGACAACAGAAAGAGATGCTGTAAAAAGCTTCCCGATGCCTGTGCTGCAGGAGTTTGACAGGAGATGAAGTGCAATAGTGAGCAGGTTGGAGCTGGAGCGGGAGCTGCCGTTCCAACGGGGCGCTGCTGATGGATTTGCCTCCCGAGGGGGTCGGGACCGTTGCTGCCCCAGCCGTGTTGCCTGCGGCTCCTCTTGCTCCTCTCCTGCAGGAAAGGACGGGCTCCTCGCGAGCGGCTAGGAGGGAGCACAGCACTAATGAATTTCAGAGAGCAAATGCATCAATTTTAGAGCACTGTAAWCCCACTGCATTTCCCTCCCCAGTCCTTCCGTGCCTCTCTTTGTGTCTCTGGGGCTGAGCTCCTCACAGCCAAAGTCTTTTGCTGCCCTCTGCAGACGGGAGAATGTCCGGATTCAGCTCAGTTTAAAAGAGAAAATCTCTGTTTAACATGTGAGAAACATGCTTATGTGACAAAGCTCCTGCAATTTGCAAGGTGCTTTTTAGGTTTAAAGCTATYCTAGGAGCTCAGTACGTAAGTGCAGCTGGGCATGAAGACTAGAGAGGAAAAGGAAAAATCCCTGGGATTTTCTTTAAAGAGTTCCCCAGGCAGCTGGAAGGGGCTGGGAGAAGCCGAGTGACACCAGACCGGACTTTGGAGGCAGCTGGGGACCGTGATCTTTATCTTACAACAAGATTGGAGCAGAATCTTCTCTGCTGCAAAGCCGGTCAGTGAACAGACAGGGAAGAGCTCGAGCAGCCTCCAGTGCAGCCGTGTTTGTTATTCCTCTCCTCCCACTCACGTCTGTGTAAACCCAGATGTAAGAGGCAAGTCCAAAGGGCTTCACGTTCATGCAGAAACCTCATACACGTTCATACGTTCACACAGAAACCTCTCCTGGCCTTTCCCTGGGGCCCTTCGTTGGTCTGAAGGCCACTTAAAGCAGCGAGGGGCAGAGCGCGGAGCAGAGCTCTGGGGGCTCCCTTTGCTCGCCGTCCTGGGGAACGAGGCCTGCGGAGCTGGTGTCTGTGTTGGACACGACAGCAGAAACGGAGCGGGGGCCAGCAGATGCACAACGTGCTGGAGGGGTGGGCAAGGAGAGCTCTGGTAATGGGAACTCCTGCTCCCCGCGTCTGAGGAGCCAGTTATCGTGTGGATGAGGATCTGTGCTGTTTTATACTGGGATCACTGCTTTCCCATCTCTTCATTTTAAAGTCTTGACTATATCTCATTTAGGGAGCAGAGCTCAGAGCAGTCACGGTAGGACACGTAACTCGGCCTGTTGCACAGCAGCATCTTCCCGCGGAGCCCGTTTGCAGCTCCCTGCGTGGGGAACATGAGCAGCTTTGTGAGGCAGCAAAGAACCAAGAGCCTCCTTCTCCCAAGTCATGCTCATGTGTCCTCTAAGGAAAGCTCCTTATGCCACAGCGAAGTGCGCTGATGTAGGAACAAAACACCACAAAACCAAATGGCTGCTAGAAAAAAAAAAGGCGGAAATGGCTTTGCCCATGGGAGACCCTGGCGAGAGGGCCCTTCCCYGGGCTTTGCCGCGCTGGGGACATCTCCCGTACACGGGGCCAGGCTCCCGACAGGACACAGTGTTTCCGAGTCACTGAAGCTCCCTGCCCTGGCCATCGGTTTGTACAGGGAGGGTGTTCGATGCACCCTGGTCCTGAGCTCCRGTCGGGGCCGTCCCCAGCAGCAGAAGCACAGGGAGCACCTCGGGCTGCAGGACAAGGCGCCTCCCGGGCCCTGGTCTGCTCCTTCCCCTAGRACTCGGGCTCCTCTGGAGCACAAAGCACCTCTCGGTTACTGATGTGCCCAGCGTGGGCACCTGTGGCCAAGCGCTCCCTGCCTCCGGGGGAGCCTCCGTGGGAAGCTGCTTGTCTGACCGGGACRTGGAGAAGTCAGGCAAGACGCCCTGGCAATGAGCGCGTGGGGAAGAGTGGGATGCTCCTACCACGGACCTGCAGCCTAAAGCTGCCAAGTGGGATTTCCTTACCTGAAAATACAGGAGCACTTGGAYTGCAAGGGGAAATAATCGCAGGAGACAATAAAATGATTAGAGACGAGATGTGATACAGCTGGCGGCTGCTGCCGAATTCTGCTTGGCTTGTGCGTCAAAAGGGACTGTCACTCCCGCTGCCAAAGAGGAGGCAGTCTGTGTGTTTTCGTGGGAGTAAAATAAGCCGGGAGCAGCAACGGGTTTGTTTTGGAAGGGTCTGCATTGCTCACAGATCCGCTTTCCTGCTTAGCACCTGACATTAGGATATACAACAGCCCATGGCTTTCTGAGTCCTTTTCCTTGTTAGGGACTAACTTACTATGGGAAATCAATATGAACTTCAGTCTTTGGGTCTATTGTTCTACATACAATAAGAGATCTCATTGCTGCTGTAACTGCATGCCTCTTTTGTAGGTGCAAGGTAGGTAGGTAAAGGAGGAGCCTTTAAAGGCTCTCCCACTTTGCAGATTCCCTGCACTGCTGCTGTCGCCAGAGCCTTGCTCTCCCCTCTCCCCTGCAGAAGCAAACGCAGAGACCCCCAGGATGAGCTCCGGGACACCGTGAGGACGCGTGTGGCGACTGGGAAGACACGGGAGCCCTTCGTTTTGCCACCTCCTTTGGTGGGAGCAGCCTGGTGGCCCTGGCTAAAGCCTTGGCCACTGCCCTCTGCCCGGAGGCACAGCCCCGGGGCCGAGCACAAGCGGAGCTTGGCAGATCCATGGGAGGAGGATTCCCTAAGCTGAACCTGAATGCAGAGAGCGAGGAGGAGCTCTACCGGGGTTGGTAGCTCGGGAAAGCACGGGCTTAAGAAATCCCCGAGGGATTTCTGGCACAGAGGACCTGAAGTCCCTGTGCAGGAGGGCTCCGCGCCGCTCCCGGCTCCCGCACTTCCCAGGCGCTTCCCAGGCTGGCACGGAAGCAGGGCGGTCGCGCGGCAGACGCCCCTGGCCTCGCTCCGCGCTCCGGCGGGGACCGGGGCTCCTGCAAACAGCTGATTCCACTGAAMGTTTCCTTGCCTGCGCCGCTCTGGCCACTGCCGGTTCCTGCCGCGTAAACCCTAGCCGAGAGTGGGGGCTGAGTCAGCGTCTTGTGGCCGTGTCCTTCCTGGCTTGGTTTGTCCCAAGAAAGAGGGAACTGCAGGGCATGATGCTCTTCGCATCTGCTTTCCAAGAAGGCTGGAGATGTTCCCACTCCTCTCTCTGATAGTTGACTAACAGCTTCTTTCGTACTCTGCTCCCTGGAAAAAAGTCAGGAACAGAGAAGACTCTTTGCTTCTCACATTGTCTGATTTATCAAATAAGTATCTCTAAGAAAGGGGCATCTCACAGGTCCTCTTGGCCGGGCTCAGTCTGCTCATGCAGGAGGGCCACTGAAGAGGTGGGTTTTGAAGGCTGTGGATCCGCTGCAGCACCCGGCTCAGCTGCCGCGGTCGGAGCACAAACACCGGCAGTCTCGGCTCTGCCAGAGGGATATCTGCATTAGAGCAAGGCAAGCACTGTCCCGGGGAGCTGCAGAAGCTGCAGTGCCCCAGCTTTGCAGGCCTGGGCCCAGCTTTGCAGGCCTGGGCAGGCACAACCTGCAAGTCTTGCTTGAGCTGCCTTGATGGAAGTCTCTGCACATCATGGCAAAGGGAGGCGTGAGTCATGAGAGGAAGAGCTGCTGCTGCTTGCAAAGGCCCCGGCGTCGTCCTTGGGCTGGAAAAAAAGAATTGTTTGCCCTATTTAGAGATGTTATTCCAAAAAACTCTGCTCTRTGGCCTGTGGTCTACAGAACCACAGGGAATATCTGTGGCACTGTCCTCAACCATGTTTCCAGCTACAATCTTCATGAGAAGCAGATGATGGCCTGCAAGAAATCTTGGGGCAATTGATCTAGCACATCCAGTCATCCCAAGCCTTAGTGGGAGCTACTGCTTTACACACCACTAGCTGTATTGGCTAGGAAAAACATTTTATTTGCCCATTTAATAGCCATAGCTGCTATTTGAGAGATATTATAGTTCATGGCAGTCCAGCTAATGGTCTGCAAGCCAAGTCCACCCCATAAAATACACTTTTTCCCTTAAAAGAAAAAA